ATAAATTCCCTTTCCGATACTTCCACAACCTGTACAATGTATCAGCCTGATTCTCATGATTGCTTATGTCTTCCAGACTGTGTTTGTTCTTGTCTCCTTGTATTTCCCTTCCTTTTTTGGTTGAAAGCCAGGCATTGCATATGGCAGTAACTACTAAATTATTAAGAGTATGTTTTAGGTTTAGAGGTAAGTTCATCTTTTCTTCTGCTAAGTCATTTGTTTGGAAGTTTGTGTTGACCGAGTCAGAAGGTAGGTCGTGTGAAGTTTGCTGTTGCTGCAGTTCATGTACCACAGGCTTCACGTTTCCCTAGTGATAACGTGTGTTTATGGTGAGGGAGAATTTGTTGTAGGGATGCTTGTTTCTTTCTTGGCTTCTGGTTTCTTCACTTGGCTGTTTTGTGTCTTTGTAGACAAAATTTGTTTCTTTCAGAACCCTCTTCTATCTCCACTGTTACTTCTTCTTGACACCTTTTAGCAAGGGACATGGGGTTGGCGTGAGGCAGAGAACAAGGGTGTTTTCTGATTTTCCACTGACGTTAGGCAGGTACTATGAACTGTGGTTTGGGATGTCCTCCTCACACATGTCCCCACCATTCTCCTGCAGACATAATGCAGGGCCCAGCAGGTATTCCTTCCCAGGTAGAATTCTACAGAGGTAGAATTTTTTTCCTCCTCCCCTTTCCCAACTGTAAGGGGTTTCTCCTGTGCTTTTAGGCTACAAGTCTCTTTGCCCTTTTCACTGAAGATTAAGCCTTTTTTATCATGAATGAGTTAGAAGAAGTGAGTTTAGGCAGTTTATGCAGTTTGTGGATTCAATAAAAATGATTAGTATGCATTCGTCCACCTTTCACCCTGCTGTACGTGTAGAAGAAATGCTTTTTCTAGTTTTTCATATTGGTGATCTGAAACAAAACAGCAGAGAGGACTGCTTTTTTTTTCCTTTTCTCCAGTAAATAGTTTTGGCAACACGGTGCTACAAAAATTAAAATGGTTAATGAAAAATTACTATTATAATTTAATTGCTCAAGAAATTTGAGGATGGCTGTGTACACATCTGAAAATATTAAAGCAAAGGTTCTATGCATGAAGTTCATTTTTTGTTTGTTTGCTTGTTTGTTTTATTTAAGCCCGGCTATTCCATGACAGATTCAATCTTTGCACTCTTTACTCTTACATTTGGTGAGCAATATGCTTGGATCAAAGGAGACATTTTAGTTTCTCTGGAATTTCTATATGTGAAAAGGCCTTTCAGTGTGATAAACTATAGCTCATGTAAAGATCACCAGTAAAGCACTAAGTGATGCAGTAATAACTTGATGATTTGTAAGTACCTGTTTTGGCACAGTCAAAAATTTTTTTACCACATCAAATGGAGTACAAGGCTTATGCTCTGGAGCTTTTGAATTATTTCTGCTATTTTGCATTCTGTTCTTTCCTGTGCACCCATGAGGTTAATAGGCAAATCACACTATTTATGGGAATTTCTGTAAGTTCTCAAACACTTCCTACATTTTGTACTGAATAAATGCATGATTTCCAGCGTGCCACAGTTGGTGTTACCAGAGTCTTTGAGAAGACAGCCGGGGAGGAATGCTCAAGTGTGAACTAGTGGAGCAGACTTGTCATCCAAGGAAGACGACAGATGTGTATCTTTACAATTCTCTTTCTTTCTCATTCCATGCTAACAGAGAACATTTTAAACTCCTGCATTATGTTAGCAGGCTCATTGGAAAACTTCTAAGCCTGGAATATGTTTCGAAGGGAAATTTTCTACTTTGCAATTAATTTTTATATTTAAGTCCTTGTGAGTGTTTTATGTGCATTTTTTTTGCCTATTTGCATGTCACCTTTTACTCTTAACAAATTTGATACATTTGGTAAATACCTTGTTCTTGTTGTTTCTCCAGAAACAGTTTTTTTCAAAACTATTACCCCGATATCTAGAAGTGCACATTATAGTGGAGAAAGCTTTGGTAAGTAAAACTTTCCTTCTTGCCCTCCAGCCTCCTCCCCTCCCTCTCTCCCCCCCTCCTTCTCATCCTCCTCCTCTCCCTCCTTGCTACCTCCTTCCTTCCCTTTCCTCAATTCCTTCCCTCCCTTCCCTCCTTCCCTTCTCTCCCCTCTGCTCTGCAATGTTGGCGTGGCAGAGGAGGGGCATGTGCACTAGAGGCATGTAATGCAGCTGTTCTCGTTTGTTGTGTTAGCCTGTGATTGCCTCTGTTCAAGCCTGTGCTGAATACTCTTTGTATTGGGTGTCACGTTGTTCACCAGACAGTTGTAGGATGTTCCATTTGGGAGCCAGGCAAGACCTTCTTTACTGAGGCTGCTGTTGTGGGTATTTCTCTACCCAGGGTCTCCCCACAGAGGTGAACAGTAGCAGCCGGGTGAGGCTATCTAGACAGTGGTCATGTGTTCGCAGGCTGTGGGCATTTGGTTGAATTGAACTAGGTCACGGTGTGCTGGTGGCTCGAGGTTGGGGTGTCCCTGGTGGGGCATTGGACTTTGGAGCAGTTCCTCTGGCCCTGCAGTGGTGGTGGAGGCTCCGGGGTGGAGTCTTGTGGTCCAAGTGCAGCTCTGGAGTCTTGAGAATGGTGTCCTGGGCCTGGCAGGAGCTCTGGAGGCACAGAGGCAGAGCCTCAGGCTCCAGGGTGAGAACCTCAGAGCCGGGACTCAGGATGAGCCTGAAGCAGGGCTGTGCGTGTTGGCTGATCTGACATGGAGGGTGTCTCAGGGCCGAGCAGGCAGGATGCAGTTGGGGCCTGGATAGCAGAGTCAGGGCCAAGCATGTGGCAGGCTGTTGTGCAGACTCCAGACTCGGAGACAGCGTGGATGCCCAGTCATGGGGGAGAGGTCAGTTCCAGTGGTCCAGGGACCATGGAGTTCTCCCCACCTCACCCAGGACCTGCCAAAGGAGTTGCTCAAAGCCCTCTCAGGTCAAGAGCCTGCTGTTCCCCAGTCAATTCCCTTTCTCAGATCCTGTTGCGCTGTAGGGGAGGGATGCTTGGCTTCCGGGCACAGAATGTGGCACAGGGGAGCCTCTAGTTAGTCCACTGCCTCCCCAGCATGGTGCCGACTTGGTGCCATGCCCCCGAGAGCTTCAGATGGCCGTGGCTGCTGCCCAGTCTGCATTGTGCCTGTTGTCTGGTGCGATGACGCCACACAGACTCTAGGCAGGACCACAGTCCAACCTGGTAGCAGTCTGTGGCAGTGGAGGGAGATAAAGT